CAAGTCAGTACCCAGGATGTTACAGCAGTGGCAATATTGTCGTCTGACTCTCAAACAATGAAGGCATAAGCATAAACCAAAGATGCACAGGCGAGCCGAATGCCTTCAGGGAGCCCGTGATTTGTGTGTCCAGTTGTAAGGAGCTGCAACCACAGCGTGCAAGAATTAGATGCACAATTGCAGAAACATACTTGGACATAGAATGGTGAACCTAATTCAGGGAAAAATTGGGCCCTGTATTAAACTGTACTGTAAGAGTTTCAAAGCCACTTGGCTTCCAGGTTTTATACAAGAAGGCTTGTTATGAAAGGGAAGCTGCCCCTAAATGCTCTGCATGTGCCCAGCGAGCTGGCTAAGAGCTACACACACACAACCCAGTAGCCCAGCATTTCTTAGCCTGTCTTTACAAGTATGAGCGTCTCATGATCCTGTCTAGTCTCAGAAGAGAGGGAATAGCTCAAATCCATCTCCCCTGCTGTTGCAAAAGGAACACCTCCACTTCAAACACTCTGTGTTTTGCTGCTTACACAACAACAGGAAGGTCCAGATGGCTTCCAAATACTTGTGTTTACCAACCAGGCACAAATGTGCAAGACACTTATAAAGGATGTAACCTGCTGCTGTAGCTGTCTCGCAAACATGGGACCAGGAGAATCTCCCCATGCTGCTCACAGGAGTTAAAGGAATTTGACCCCGTTCCTAAAACCTAGGGAGTAAAAACACCCTAAAAAATAGAAGGTCGGAAGGGCACTGATCAAGTTGACTGGCAAAAATGTAAACCGTATGTGGCCAACCTAAGTGATAAGTTATCCAGAAAGGACGGGAGGGAGCACACCCCTGGTTTCTGAGCAAGAGGCTTATAAATTGGAAGTCCTGAGTCCTAGTATTTTGGAATGGGTTTACTCTTTGAACAAAGACATACGAAGGTCCCATGTTCATGGCATCAGTAAAGGCATTTTGTGCATGTATAACAGTGAGAACTGGGAGCGCAGATAACTCTCTACTGCTATTACAGTTTGACAAACCAATGAAAAGTAATCGAGAGAGCAGCACGCGGAGCTGCTTTGATAGTAGAATCCTAATTCCAGTTTCTTTTTTTATAGCAAATTCCTTAAATCCTCCTGTTGCAAGCATGATATTCTGGTGCGGTCTGGAAGAATCAGTAGGGT